TGTTGGTTCCCCGTCTCACCTGCAGCCAACGACTGGGACGAATAGCGGGGGCTTTGTCGCAAATGCATTGTATCATGGCCAATTCTTGTTTGAACCATTTTCGCCAACTGTTTGATCGCAGGCTCTTGGTCTGTTTGATCTGTGATTTCTTTCCAACCTAATCGCAACAACCAGTTTTCAAATGTTTTCACCGCGTAAGTGTCTTCAGCTTCTTGGAGGGAGCTACGGCCGCAAATGGCCAACGCGAATCCACATCAATGGCTGTCAGTACTGTGGTCAACGCACCTCTGTCCGCTCGCGTTGCCTCACCTACATCTGCAACATGTACATCCTCGCCTTTGTTGTTGAAGAACAGGAAATCTGCATAGATCAAGTGTTCTACCCTGTCATCGCGGACCCTCTTGTGTGGTTGTTCCCTTCCTTGACCTGCTACACCGTGAGTGCACCAGGGTGCAAAGGTGGCATGGTGCAAATTGTGTTCTGCACGTTCTGTTCCCGTAGGTGCGTGTGGAAGGGGCACTACATTAACCTTAGGTGTGTGCGCCTCATCTTCTGCCAAACATGAATCCTCAGCATGCATGTGTCCTACCTCCAACCACACATCTTCCAAACAATCTTCACCACCATCACCACGGAAAACCATGCAAGTCAACCGTCCAGTTTCCAAGTTTGACACATCAACAGGACACTCCTCACAATCCAAAGGTGTGAGCAGGTTTCTCCGCTGAACGCGATGCACGCGAATCAAAAGAGGATGCTCTCGCCTCCATTCATCTGGGTGCATGGTTGTGCTGTCTGAGTTGGCAGCAATGCTGTTTTTTGCTTCTTGTCGCTTCAAAGTTTTCAAGTCACATCTTTTTGACCTGTATTCCACCAACGTTTTCCAATTTTTGTCAAAAGGGTATTGCTTCCCGTTTGTGTGTTCCAGGAAACTGCCGCCATCTTTTGAGAACACGACGCTCTTCCAACTCTTGTCCAACAGTTCGTCGACTGTCAGAACATTTTCACTTGCATCAATCACTGTCACGCGCATTGTGCCACGCAAACCGTCACTCAACTCAACAGCCGGTGTTTGTTCCCCATACACTTTCAACTCTGCGCCTTGCACTGAATACAACTGCCTAGTTTTCGTGGTGTCAACTGGTACATCAAATTCACCAACAGTGGCACATGTCACACAAGCACCAGAATCAACCATGAACCAAACAAACTCATCGCTCTGGTAGGGACGCGCAGCTGAAATGGAATCTCGCACTGTCATGATCATGTTGCGTTCATCTGTGTGATGCACATGTGTACTATCGAAACCTTGTTGTCGGTGCCCGGGCTTGATTCTGGTTCCTCACGGACCTCGCAGACCTTCCAATGGCATTCTGCGGCTATGTGTTCATACTTCTTCCAAATGTGACATTGTTTTCCTGCATGCGGGTTGGTGCTCCGTCCTTTGCTCCCGAACCTTTGCCTTTCCAATCCTCTCCTTTACCTGCCTGTTTGGCTTTCTCACCTTTGTTGCTACTCCCTCCCTTGAGGTTGCCTTGTTGCTGGCTTGAACCTTTCCAAGTCGGTGTCCACGATTGTTGGTTCCAAGACCCTTTTCCTGGATACCCTTCCTTTCTTGCCTTTGCCTCCCTTGCCTTTGTCATTGACTGCGCCTATGTCCACGGTGGCCACTCCTGAGTCCTCTTTGGGTCTTGCCGCATTTGTTACGCCGAATTGCCCTCGTTGAGGCCTGCGCCACAAGTTGCGCGCACTCAGGTACTGCTCTATGTACGTGCGGACTTTCATGTAGGAATCAAGTGAGTCAGCATGCATGAAAATGGACTGTTGAAGCTCTTTTGGTGCAACATGAACAAGAACCGACAACTTTATATTTTCGTCAATTTTCTTTTTGAATTGCCGTTCGAATTCGCGAATTTCAGATTCCCACTGATAAAACGCTTCACTCCATTTCGCAAGGTCTGTTGGGAAATTTGGGTTTGTCAAGTGCTTGCGCCACACCCAGGCTTTCGACTTGTGAGCGGGTTCATTTGTTTTCACCAACCTACGCCACATTTCCATCCATTTCCTTCAGGCGCATGCTGCGCCATTCCCATGACACAATCAGGCGCATAACCCATCAGAATGGTCAACAAGGCTCGGCTCAATCGCACTTCACTGTCGGACAGTTCGTCGTGCTCTATCGGTGTTGCTGACTGCTCTGCTTTTTCCAACAGTGCGGAATACCCAGTATTCACAGTGGAAACCCACGCAAGGAAAATGTACTTCCACCGCTCCCAACTTTCGCGTTTACCATCAAACAACGGTGGTTTGTGGATGTTTCTGGGGTCTACCTAACGTGAATCTCCTATGCTTGTTGCGGCTTGTGAACTCGCAGTTGCTTCGGCTCTTACCCTGCCCGACTCATTGCGTGTCTCTGTCAAGGCTACACTTTGCTGTTCAAACGCCGTTTGTGCTCTTTGCAAGGCAGCATCCAGCGTTGTTTGTTGTGATCTCCACTGTTCGATCTGGGTTCTCAATTCTCGCACCACTTCTTCCATTACTTCGAAAGGAAGAACAAAAGGACGAAAACAACCACAGGTGGCAGTTCTGACTTGTAAACCCCAATTGGGCTCAGCAAAAACCTGCAAGACACTGTGCGAACGGAGTGTACGGGCAAGCTACCTAAAAGTCGGCAATTAGGTGATATCACCCGCAAAAGAGGGAATTTCCCCAGCGCTCACTCGACGCCGCTTGGGCTCAGTTGATCTTTGCCTTCGCGTGTTCTCGTCTAACTCTTCTTTCACTTTGTTCTGGTTCTTCGGCTTAAACCCCTCAACTTCCACTTTTGGTACTACTTTCGCTTGACCACTTTCAGCTCGACTGGGCCTTCGCGGGCACTCCTGGATTCTGTTACTGCTCGCCTGGCTTCTGCACACAAATAACTCTTTCTCGTTGACTGACCTGGTGTGCGGGCTACTTCCCCAGCAACGTGCGGTATCTCCCGCTGAAGGTTGTTCCACACACGGCGATATACTCCACCGATTTCACCTTCCAAAGGGCGAGACAAACGTACAGCAGGTGCCAAGAAAGCACTGTAATCCACCGGTTGACTGCTAGTAGTGTGGCTTGCTGAGCGTTCACTATCACAAGCAGCTGTGGACTGACCAAATGCAGGAATTTCTTGTTCCACCTCTTGGTTGTCTTCTTCTTCTCGCTTCTGTCTTTGCAAGTCTCTCTCCCACCGTCTGGCAATTCCTCTCAAAAAACGATTTTCAACTGCTCGTGCTGATCTCGTCCTAGAAGATTTTGAAGAAGTTGTCCCAGACGTGGTCACAAGCGGTGTCACCCGCCGCGAAGGACGCGTTATTACACGCGCGCGAAGCTGGCCCTGGGGAGAACCAACTCCGCTACCATGCGAAGCGCTCGAAGTCTTTTTACTCGATCACTGAAAGGGGCTGCGTATATTGGGCTCAAATTAACTGTACAAGTGTAAACTGTAAACACAAGTGGTCCAACTCTTGAGATGATACCACGGGGTACGTTTCTCAGATAGCTTCATGAAACACTCCCCTGCTTGACTGAAAACTCACCGCGTGTGATAGCGGGTTGCAAGCCATCGCTTTAGGACCATCATGTTTCACATCCTCACATCATGCTCCACATCCACACCCCTTACCGCATCCGTTGTCTTTACGTAGTTTGATTACTGTAGATGCGAACTGCCTTTGAATTTGGGAACCGCCGTTTGCTGACACATCACTGTTGCATGTGACCCATGCTAGTTTTTGTCACCAAAGCCCCGGGCTTCAAGTATTGTGAAAGTATTTCACAGACAGCGAACGTTTTTGGACCGCTACTTTAAGAACAGGAAAGGGTGCCTGTGTGCGCTTTGAAGCCTGGGAGCTGGTGCTAGGGTACCGTCAGGATTTATGTGTGTTTTGGGGCCTGGGTGTTGGTGTTGCCGTTGGCTACAAAATTCGTTGCTTTGTGGGATCTATTCTGGTGTAATTCGCGCCCGTCGGGTCAGAAATGTACACTTTTGACCGATCGGGTATTGTTTATTTACAAGAAATCTGATGGCGGACTCATGCTCTGGCATTTTTATCGCTAGAAGGACGTCGAAACTTTATCCTGTTAAGACGCTTGCAGCTTGCAAACCCCCACGGCAACATGCAGTGGCATGGCAACATTAGTAGCATGAATCAACAAATTGAGGCGGTTTGTCATGGCGTTTTTTCGTCCTCGAACATTTTGTTTTTTAGTGTCCATGCATTTTTTCTGATTGCGGCGCACTTGGGCTCAAGTCTTCCAGCGTTTTTTGCGCCGATCCTCCCCCAAGATGCAAGTGCTTTCAGCAAGCGGTGGCGCGTGGCGACGGTTGTTTGGCTGGTGTGATTTTTTCAAGACCAGTGCTGTAGCGACCCGTGATACGGAAATTTGGCCACTGCGAACAAGATGCCTCCAGGGACCTGTAGGGCGGCCACAGAATGATCCGAGGCAAAACTGATGCTCATATTTCAACTGTTGGTTTGTGTGGCTTGGTTGGTGCGGCGCCCAGGGCACATAGAAAACCGGCATTGGATTGTTTCAGCTGTATGCCAAATCAGTCGCACAGGTAAAGTTGCATTAGGCCCAGCAGTTGTGCATCAGGCTCCGGTCAAAGGGGCGTTGCTGCTGGACAGTGCAGAGCTGGTGCACGGCTTCACCACTTTGCTGTTGAGATTCAGTTCCAAGGCGTGGATTTTTCAACAACCGCGCGCGGTATGATCTGCTGAAGCCCGGCTGCGGGAACCAATCCCAAATTCCAATAGTTTCATGTGTGGGGGCGGTGTCGGTGTGGGTGTAGGACACCCTGACTAAACTATTCAAAAAGTTGTGCATTGCAAAACGACACAATGTTCACACAGAATTTGATTTTGCTGTTGTGGATAACCTCAGTTCGAGTGGTGGGCATTTTATGTTTTGACATCCGTGTCTTTGGGAAAACTGCGTGCTTATTGTTTACATTCTGTGTTCCGACAGGCCAGGCTGGTCCAAGAAAATGCTATGGATGTTCCACAATGTGATTCAATTCTTGCAGTCCCCACTTTGGCGATGATGCTTGGTTCCACAGTCAATTCAGGGATTATATATATATATTTGATTTTCGCGTGCCTGACTGTTGGACTTGTTAGACTTGTTTCCTCGTTTATTCATATTTTTTTTTGGCAAGGATTGGTTCATTGCCATCCTGCCAGTGGTACAATGATGGGCAAGTACTTCAGGCCTGGTACGAACCGATTTCTAGCATGCGGTTTGGTTTTCAAACTTGCCCTTGCTGGGACCTCAGCGCCGCTTGGGCCGTGTGCATGTCATAAAACAGGTGCTGCTAGGGGATGGCCCAACCGTACAGACGGGAAGCACCATTTCGACTTTGCCATCGGTGTTGGCAGCGCTCCGGCTGGAACGATAACTTGGTGAGGTGATGAGTACAGGGTCGAAACGATTGTTTTGTGTTCAAAGTGCCTCCACTGTTCAACAGCGTGTCCTGCTATTGAGTTGTTTTGTTTTTTTTTGGCAGGCGTTCGTTATTTTCCACTGGGGCCCGCCAGCGGGGTGGTCTCCCACCCGAATCAGGCAGCAGACACCAGCGATGCAGCAGGGGCTCTAACGGCCGTGGTTGTGTCATCACTGGCTCCAGTGACGCCTGGAGCAGTGCTTCAAATCTGGCCACCGCAGGTGCAGGGTTTGCATTCAGGTCACGGAAAGGACGGCTGCTGATGACTTAGTAAAGGTAAGCCAAAACGCGAACCATTCACAATGCTTGTGGCGGGTTGAATGCCACACATAGAACATTCCTGGGGTCAAGTTTTGGTTTCGTATTTTCATTTGTCAGGTAAGCATCCTGCATCGAAACGCTGAATGCAGGCCTTGCCCTGTAGCTCTGTCATTTTGAGTGGCACGCTTTCGACCGGTGCAGCCGGGCGCCACTTTTCTAGCGTTGCCTGGCGATTTGGCACTGCAGACGTGGCCACCGGAGGGCTTGAGGCCTGGGCATGTTCAGAAGCACCAGTAGGGTACGATGCAATCCACCTGCTTGTTTGCATTGGCAAGGCATTTTTTCTTGGACGCGGGTTGGGAGAAGGGGGGCTGCCATTTTGGCGAACGTCCCCCGATCAATGATGAGAAACCATTGGCCACTTTGTCCAGGCGTTTTTGAATGCAGCCAGCACTTCAAACTCGCTGAAACTGGAAATTCCCGGGACGGCACTCTCTACTGCTGTTGCAGCAAGCGCTGCAAATCTGGTCCGGCTTGAAATTGTTCTCCAAGTCACGAACTGGTTGGGTCTCTCGTCAGAAACATCCGCACTTTGGCAAAATTGGTCAATTTTCCATCGTTAGGTGATCTTAGTCGTGAGTTTTGCATCGTCCAAGATTGCGGGATTGTTTGCAAGTGCTAGACAGTCAGACAAGGACATCCTGACAGTGGATCGGTCAGGGACGGTGGCCCCACTCGTATATCCCAGTTCAATTACCAATCGCACTATCCAAAGCAGCCAAGCAGTAAGCTTCAGCGTTGCAACCAGGCGGACGGACGGTTTTTGTTTTGTTCTTGCTCAATCCAGAGACAAAAAGACAAATGGTTTTGGCGCATGTGTTTCAAGGCAGTTGTTGTTCTTTGGGCATGCTGCTTTGAGAGATGCATAGGGATAGCTATTTGCAATGATTTGCGGCTTGAGCAGGTATGCGGACCAAACTGCATGTGGAACAGCACCTTGTCAGAGAAGTTGGATGTTTCAGCCTTCAATGAAGTCTGAGGGCCAGAGGGGTAAGATGACATTGTGCAGACTGTCACATGCGCATCTCGATTCCAAGCGTTCTCCCAGACCCTCTATATATAAATATGTGTGTGATACCTATCTATCTATTTATCTACCTACCTACCTACCTACCTACCCATCCATCCGTCCGTCCATCCATCCATCCATCCATCCATCCATCCATCCATCCATCCATCC